GCCTGAAGAAGCTACTGTTTAGCGAAACACGTGTTCAGTTTTTGTACACTATGTAGAGAAAATCACACAAAGTGTTTCTTGAATACGTTATGGATTCTTATCAAGTATCAGCCGATTTCATCACATATATCAAAGATCATTTCACTAGGAAACAATAACCATTGTGTTTTCCATACAAACTGCGTATCTATAAATTAAGTAAATATTGGAATAACTGCTCTGAGAAGGCAAATAACCATTACACTCTTTCTATTCGATCTTTATACCTATGTAGTTTTTCTGAGTATTGGGATTGTAAACGTACTTTGACTTGGCTCCTTCATAGTGATGAAAGTGCATGATCAAATAAAATGACTTTCCCCCTAAAGTAATCTCCCAAGATACTGGTAGTTATACTGAGAAAAAAATAAATAAGAATATGTTGGAAACGTAGAAATATGTTCTTTTTTCGATAACAGACTTCTCACACAATATTACGACGCCAAGATTTGAAAATATATGTAAAACATTGTGAGATTTTCAAAAAATAGTTTTAAAAACCACAAGAATCATTTCACTATACAATAGCTTCTAATAAATTTTTCTGTCTACTCAAAGACCAATTACTTTTACTATCCCTCACTTTCCTAGCCGGAGAAGATATCGTTCTTCCCATGGTTATCGCCTGAGTTTTTGCTGGGTTCACTCGGATCTTCCACTCAAGGTACCAGCGCTCGAGGTCGTCCAATGCACGTTGCATAACGACGATCCCGAGCTCTCGATCCATGGAAGATGAGTGGAGAGCCGTATCATCGACGTAGAGAGACACCTTCACACGCTCGGACCTTGGGAGGTCGCTGGTGTAGAGCGAGTATAACGTGGGAGAGAGCACAGCTCCCTGTGGCACCCCAGCGAGGAACTCTCTGTTTGGTGGTGATTTCTAGTTCGTAGGTTGTATCTATGTAGTCCGTCTCTCTTGTTGATGCGTTGCTATTGGTCAAAGTCTCATTACCTGTACATGTGATTATGAAACCAATTAATTGGAGAAGCAATGTAATGAAATGAAGATCATATTTTTTCGATTCTACCCGTGTTTGAACAAAAAGCGTAGGGCTCTCGAATTTTTTCGAAAATAAAATACAGCTTAAGTATTACTGTTGATACAGCCAAAAATATAAATTCCAAACTTTTGATATTTTCCGCCAGTACCAAAAAAGCTTGAGCCGATTTTTTTGAATTATTCAACAGTACTCTGAAATAAGCAACTTTGTCCAATTTAATACACTCACTGTCTCTCACCACTGTAAATGATCTATTTATATTTTTGTGTATTGAGTCCTTTTTTGTTCATTATTGGTTTTTCCTTTTTTTTTAACAATAAACAACATGCACTCTTTTCAATATCACTGAAATGCACTGTTATTGAATCGCTCAATTGTTTTTCTATAACAGTGGAATTAATTATTTCAGATTTCGCTTCCCTGACACTCAATTGATATATTGCTTTTGGCCTGCAAGTAGCTCACCGTGGAGCTTTTAAAACAAAAATTAATATAAAGACGTACATAGGTGAAATACAACAGCTTCATGGCTTTAATATTATGAAAGTTTCTGCAATGAAATGCAATGAAATGCAGTTTCTGCAATGAAACCATAAGCTCTGAGAGATTCTGAAACTTTTTGTGAAATATGTCTACCAAATGATAATATAAAGCTAGGACAAATGACTTTGATACCAAAAATGTCACTACTCGAGAATGCCTAGGCTTCATGGTTCAAAATTACGAAGTTTTTTGCATTGAGAAAATGTTTGAAGTCGGGGAGTAATTATCCCCCTTCTTGCTGTAAATCCACCTTGTGACTGGATAATCTATCTATTCTCTGAATTATTTCACAAGTCACGTAAGTTGAATTTGCCGCCTTCTTATATCGATTTTTCGAACATCTAATTCTGATATCTGCACATAACCTGATTTCTCTTACTAAATTGTGCCATTGCCATTGTGCAGATTGTCATTCACAGTAGATATGCAGCAGTCTAGTGACGGTGAACGTTTTAATACTGTTATATTTGTTGGAGTGTGTACCATTCGCACCAATCCTCATAGAATAATAATACCATGTTTGGAATACGACAAAAATGATGATTTACCTAACTAAACGCTGAATATAATATTAGCGGTTTGAATAAGTGGTACCTATATGTTTTCCGAACGATGGAAAATAAAAATATTTCATATTTCAGTAAACACCTACTAATAAACTGGAAGAAACAAATCATCTAGTTGAAAGTGATTGATAACAATATAAAAAATTGTGCACTATATCAGTTATTTATCTTGAACCATCGATCAATATTTATATAAAAAATTGGTAGTAGTGTATTTACTTGATTAGAGAGAAAATTAAAAAAATTGACAGTATTTACTCATTTCTAAGGTGCTGCTGTACGAGATATTTTCAAAAAACTAAGGTGAATGTTTAAATTTCGCGGGCTACGTACAATCAATTAGCAATTCAAGCAAAAAAAAATATTATACATTGTGTCGTCCAAACAAAATCTTTGGCTATATAACAACAACAAAAACTCTGGATCATATGCACGCATTGTGCTATTTAAACATTAACTACAAAAATAGTACAAATACATTGGTATTAAGTTTTAAGATCAAGAGGTATGCATCACCAGAAGGTATCACAAATCGACAACCCATTTCTCAAAGAAATTGAGAACGTCTTTGTTGACGATAGTAGGTTTTGACTAAGTTTATCAAGTTTTGCCTATATGGGTGATAGGAACCAAAACAAAAAGGATATAGATTTGAAATTTGTGTAAATCCTGTGAGATATTTCAACTTTTTTTTCAAACGTGGTTAAATGAATATTCGGCATAGACCGCCTTGTAGCTATCTAATCAAATACGCAATCATTGCAATATCAGTAAAATCGTTCAAATAAAAAAGATTCACATGTATGTAAATTCAATTAACATCAAAACTGTTAGCTATATTAACCAAAGCGTTCTTTTTCAGGTGTAGTTTTACCAGAACAGAAACAGAATGATAAAAAAATGGACAAATGGAGACTGGTACCACCCGACGGCGGATGGGGGTACTTGGTGCTTTTTGGTGCCACTTTGGTCAACATATTGGTACCAGGAACCATAAAATCTTTTGGTGTTTTGTTCGTGGAATTCATGGAAGCGTTCGATTCATCCCCGGCAGAAGGGATGTGGATACCAGCTCTCTGTTATTTTCTGTACAGTTCCTTAGGTGAGATTTTGTATTAGTTATAACCAAACAAAATAATCAGAATGAAAAATCGATATAAATTAAATACTTGTGAACTCACTCCAGAATGATTCTTTGAAAAAATTCAAGATTGGCTTCAAATGCTGAACAAAAATCATTTCAGTGGTGGTTCAATGTTGGTGTAGGAGAGAATAACAATATTAAATGAAAAAAGTATTCTACTAATTAAAAAGTTCCAACCAAGACATTTCGCTTTCTGCTTCGATATGTTTGTTGGGGGTTAAAATGGACACCAATATGTCTTGGCACAATCATATCGCTGGAATTGCAAAGGCTGCTTCTTAAAAGCTTGGAACACTGTTACGAACCAGAAAACTGTACACATCTCAGCAACTTTTGAAGCTTTATAAAGCTCAGATCTCATGTATGGAGCTCCGCTTCTAAGCATACCCTGAAGCTGCTGGATTCCATCCAGAAAAGAGCAATCCGCCTGATTGGAGACTCGAACATCACTTGCAACTTTGATAGTCTGGAACATCGAAGAAAGGTTGGGGATTTGTCCGACACATTTGATTCCTCCAAAAGCGGTACATATTAGAAATACGCGACGGACTGTGGCTGCTCATCGTTTTGAGGTTCAACAACTCAGTACACCTTTGAATTCACCGATTAGGACTTTTTCATTCGTAGAACTCCGTTTATGTGGAGTGAACTTCCTGAGAACGTTTTTCCAAATAGATTCAATCTCCAGCGATTCAAATCCAACGTTAATCGCTACTTTCGCACAGGCACCGCTCTTAGAGCACCTTAAGGATTTTCCTGCTTATAGATAGATAGATAGATAAAATTTATTTATCCTTTGTGCTACATTACATAGATGGGATACGTCAAATAAAATCTTGATCGGATACATATAGAAAGTAATTGCAAATAGTATAATATATATATACAAACATATATATACAGTACATAATTAAATATA